GAGTATTGGCAAAATTTTGCAGAGATGGATAGTGCTCATGGAATCCATGACAGTGGATATTTATTTTCAACAAATATTTCCTTTATTTCGTCATCAGCATCAAATTTTTCAAGTGCCCATTCATTCTTTTCTAAGAATTATATTGTATGTTAGATTCCTTATAACAAATAATTAAGATATCAATTTGACTTCTTTCTCCAATATTCAATAAAGTATTAAAAACCAATTTTCAAAATGAACTAAAAATAAGTCGCTTACATTTGATACCAATGAGTAGTCTTTTCTAAATTTCTTGAGACATCAATTCCATTTCGACGACTCCCAGCAAGCGACATTCCATTGGTACTCTCATCTTGGCTGATTTTTGAAAATGTTTGAATGCCTCATGCTCATCCTTTTAAACTTCAATTTCGTTTTGATAGCAAACGCCAACATTATACAGTACATCCCAATAGCATCACCCATATCAGCCGATCTTTGGTAATATTCAAAAGCTTTATGTTCATCCCTTTTAACTCCAATTCCATGTCGACAACATTATTTATTCCTTCTGCATAGCCCACATCAACTATAATATTCGAATGCCTTGTATCCATTCTTTTTAATTCCAATTCCATAAAGATAACAATGACCAACTTGGTACACACCACCAGCATCACCCATCCCAGCCGATTTTTGATAATGTTACGTTCATCCTATTCATAAAATGTCACACTTACACTACTTATATTAGTTAATTTTTGATTCCTCTTCAACTCAACTCCAAAAGCCAACTGCATGCTTCCATAAGCACTATCCATCTCTGCAAAATTTTGCCAATACTCGAAAGCCTTATGTTCGTCCTTTTCAAAACCAATTCCTTCCTTATAACATCGGCCAACATAATTTGTTTCACGTGAATCACCCTTCTCGGCAGATTTTTTATAATATTCGAATGCCTTGTGTTCAATCTTTTCAATTCCGTCTCGATAGCAAGATCTAACATTATATGTTCCATTTGATGGCTTATCTCGGCAGATTTTTGATAATATTCGAATGCATTTCGTTCATCCTTTTTAACACTAATTTCCTTCTCATAACACCAATCGACACTACGCATTCCACTGGCACTGCTGATTTTTGATAATATTTAAATGCCTTACGTTATTTTATTCATTTTAACGCCAATTCCATGACGATGGCAATACCCAACATTACACGTCCCGTCCATATCCCCATCTCGGCTGACTTTTGATGGTATTCGAACGCCTTGCGTTCATCCCTTTCAACCCCAATTACACAATAATAGCAATTCCCGAATTAAATATCCCTTCTGCATTGCCCTCTCGACTGAATTTTGATAGTACTCGAATCCCTTTCAACCCTAATTCCATGATAGCAATATCTCAGAATCATCCCTTTATCCATCTTGACCGATTTTCGATTTTAATTATTCAAAGCATTTTTGGGGTTCATAAAATCGGTCTGGCTATTTTCCACGTGATATGTCGCCACGTGACATAGTATATGCGGTTAGTCGCGACGTTTTGGATCCCAATACTCGCTTAACTAATTACAGTAGATACATAGTAATTCCTTAAGAGTATGAACATTATATTAATGAGAAACGAGATATTTTTTAATTCGAATTATCGTTAATGAGAAGAGTTGTCAATAATTTAGTTTTTTTATACTGTAAATGATGTATATTACATGTGTCGTACGGTCAATCATTTGTTGATGTCCGTCCGCTACTTGTCATATTCCTTTCTACTTAATAATATTGGACAGGCTTTTCTTCCTCAAAGATTTTTCCACTATCTCGATTAATTCCTTTAGTTCCGGATTTAAAACAAGATAATTCACCCTTTTAATATCATCGACTATTTCCGATGCACCGGTTATATCGCTTATCTTCAAATAACCTTTAATCAGAGTCTTGTATGTTTTGAGATTGGGATGTATTTTTAATGATAACATTTGATCGTAAAATATTTTTGCTTCCTGTGAATATCCGGCGTTCATAAAACCGCCTATTAGTATGTTATAATAACCTTCGGTAATTTTGTACCCGGAACGCATGATCTTCCTGTGAGCTCGCATGGCCGCATCAAAGTTTTTTAGTTTGAAGTGGAGTTGAAGCATGTTGCTCTCAATCTGAATTCCGGGTTTTCCTATTTTTGACGCAATGTTGTAAGTTTCCTGAGCCTTAGCGAAATCGCCCATCTTTATTAAACCATTTATTATAACACCGTATGTTATCATGTTTGGTTCGATTCCGTATTCACCAAAGCTATCGATGATTTTCTGAGCTCCTTCGAGATCTTTTCTCGCGAGAAAATCCTCGACAAGTATCGTGAGGGTCATGGCATCGGGTTTTATATTGGATCTTTCCATGTCCTCAAGAATTTCGAAGGCCAAAGCCTCGTTTAAATTTATTAATCTTTGAATTAAGGCGTTGCACGTCACTACGTCAGGTTTGATGCCTTTTTCCTGCATCATCTTGTACATCTTCTTCGCCTCATCAACTTTATTGAGAGATAAAAATCCGTTGATCATGATATTAAAAATTTCGACGTTAAGGGGAATGTTCTCATTGTTCATCTGCTGAAATAACTTGGCCGCCTTTAATCCTTCTCTGGATTGAAAATACGTGTCAATCATTGTACCATATGTTTCGACATCTGGCCTGATTTTGTTATTCAACATATTATTCCATATGACCTCCGCGTCATGATACGTACTTTTCTTTCCAAATCCGTGGATCATCCGATTGTAGAGTCTTAACGTTGGTCTGAATCCTCTCTTGTTAATGCCTTCCCAAACTTGCATTGCATCTTGGAATAGATTATAATATAGAAATCCAAAGATGAAGGCGTCGTAGATATGCTCGTCGGGTTCAACCTTTTCTGCAATGATCTCTTTGTACAGATTCCTTGCATCGTCAAACTTTTTGTGCTTGAATAGCGATCTCACATGTGGTTCCCGATATTTCACAATTTTTCTCAGATGATCCGCTTCGACCGAAGATAAGTGGGTTTTCACATTATTAAGAAATCTTTCGAATAAAGCGTCTCCGATATCAAATCGATCCACTACATTCCTCGAGGCTTCAAGATCACCTCCTATGATGTAGGCCGCTATGACGTATAATGCATTCTCGGGTGATATACCTAAATCGCGTTTATAAATTCTTATAATTCCCGGGCTGTTGGAAGTTGTCAAGTAATGATGGAAAGATTCTTGGTTGTAATGCGAGATGGTATCATTGATTTGCGACGAGTTCGCGTCCTTTGATTTCAGGATTTGAACCAAATAGTCCCTCACTATTTGATCGGCCTCCTCGTAGTCCTCGCCTTCTAGTAATAAATTTCTTTTGAATTCGATTGCATCTTTGACATCAGTAATGCAATTGTTTTGATTCAGAAAATCTTTAGCACAGTCCAATTCCCTTTTTTTGATATTCAATCCGAATTGGGAATGAATTTCCCTTTCATGTTGCTGTTGCGGCTGTGTGTCACCGACTACTACAGAAGAGAGTCTTTGAATTGACCCAATGGCAAATCGAGTTGAACAACCGGGCTTGGCGCGTAAACCAATGTACAGCGGTGTCCTTGGCCCTAAAGGGCATACCTTTCTGGAGGTGGCTGAAAGATAAACGCCCCTGGTATTTACGATACAGTGGCAGTGAGTAACAAAGCCTTGATTTCTGGGAATTCTCCTTGCACCAAGAAGGAGTGCATCTGTAGGGCCGAAGCTTTGAACAAAGAGTTTAAACATTCTCGGACCTGAATAAGAAAGAACGTGTCAGAAAATGATAGGTTATGGTTATGGTCGATGATGCATGTTCTATTTATGTGACACTTTCATCGGTACCACATGTCATTAATTATGTTATATCGGAAAAAAGTAGAATTTTGAAACGTGCAGATATGCACGTCGTGGCTGGAAAAATTGATGGCGCATAGCAAATGTTCCTTGGTCCACCAAATGAATCTAAACTTTTTGGTGGTCTGAATAGTTTTCCCTTCCCTCCTTGATGATTGGTTTTTGAAATTGGAAGCACAATGGACTTTTCTTATTACACAATCGTGAGTCCATTCGTGGCAGTGTGGAGAGTACACAAATTAAAAAAGCATGTTTTTTATTTCATTGTAAATCTGTTTTTATGGCTATGTCAATCATACTGAGTCATAATTATGATTCGAAAAAAAAAAGATCAAAAAAGATCAGTGTTTTCTATAAATCCGCACCGTCTTGGATTTTTTTTTTTTTTTATTCATTTATTTATTTTATGAACCGAGAGTCTCAGCTTCCTATCTCCTCTCCTAGAATCATTTGCCTGACAAAATTCCATCATACCAATAAATATGACCGGTCCAATCAACGGAAATACGACAAAGGAGCACGTAATCCTCGAGAAACCAGAGAAACCAAAGAACAGCGCGAAAAATGGGACTAGTGTCACAAACGGCACCAACGGGAAAGTCTGTGATGGAAACAATTGGTCTCCTTCTTCCTGGCAATCGAAACCAATAAAACAAGAAGTAACCTATGAAGACCAAACACACCTGAAAACCGTTCGAGACAAATTGACCCATTTACCGCCGATGGTTACACCTCAAGAAGTATGTCTATAAATATATCTATTTCATGGCCTGTCTTCATTCTTATCAGGTGGATTTCAATGTAAACTTCCATGAATAGATCACGAATCTTCGCAACCAGCTGAAACAGGTTGCCCTAAATAATGCCTTTTTATTGCAAGGTGGCGATTGTGCCGAGCTCTTCGAATACTGCTCACAGGTAAATAAAATGAGGATTGTGTTTTTTTTTTTTTTTCCTTTCTTCCCACATCGCTGTTGACACAAGTAATAACTTGTTTGATCACAAGGATCCAATCGAGTCGAAACTCAAGGTCCTCCTTCAAATGAGCCTGGTGCTTACATGGGGTGCCAGGATTCCGGTGGTTCGGATTGCCAGGATGTCTGGTCAGTATGCGAAGCCGCGATCAAATCCATTCGAAATTTACCAGGGCAAAGAAATATTGTCATTCCGGGGTGAAAATATTAATGGGTTCGATCCCAACGATAGGAAACCTGACCCCGAGCGTCTCCTGAAGTAATAAATCATCTAAAGAAGAATCATACATGTATGCTTTTCTGCAATGAAAAAATACGCTTATCATGTTTTTTTTTTTTTTTTTTTTTCCTGCACTCAGGGCCTACTTTCACTCGGCGGCCACGTTAAACTATGTGAGATCGATCCTCAGTTCGGGGTTTGCAGGTAAAATTACTCAATTTCGTACGAACGTCTTCCTCACACGGATGTGATAACAATCCGCGAAACCTAATGTGTAACAAACGAAGCTCTCTCGACTCAACTATTAGACCTCCACCGTCCGTCGGAATGGTCACTTCACCACGTGCGCTCCAACGGAACCCGCCAAGAATATCAGACGATTGTTGACCGTCTTACCGACGCATTAGATTTCATGAAGACGATCGGTGCGGACAGCCCTTTGTCTCCTGTTTCAAGCTCATTAAACAGTGTCGACTTTTTTATGTCGCATGAAGGTTTACTCCTTGAATACGAGCAATGTTTGACGCGACAACTAAAAGATCCGGAGTCTGGTGACCTCAAGTGGTACAATGTCGGAAGTCACTTTTTGTGGATCGGCGATCGAACTCGACAGCTCAACGGTGCACATGTGGAATATTTCCGTGGAATAGAAAACCCAATTGGAATTAAAGTTGGCCCGTCCATGAAACCCGAAGAACTCCAAGAGTTGTTGGATATCGTGAATCCAAACAAGGAGATTGGAAAGGTGACCTTAATTACACGTTATGGAGCGCATCAGGTATCGTACACCTTCACGCTGTCCCGGTTAATTGATATACGGATGTTCGGATTAAAAGGCGAATAACTATCGATTCAGGTCGAGAAATATTTACCAGCTCACATTCAGGCCGTCAAGGCATCAGGTCACATTGTGGTCTGGGCATGTGACCCAATGCATGGAAAGTAAGTCTATTTTATTTTCTTTCTCACTTGGACGGCGATTGCAATAGAATAATAAACTGTCCCCTGTTCTTCCTTTTTTCTGTTATTTAATAGCACGAAAAACTCTTTGGCTGGCATGAAAACACGACACTTCAATTCAATAATCGAGGTACTATTCACTTTTCTGATCCAAATTATCGCTGAATGTAGCGAAGACCATTTTGATGAAAGTTTTCTGATTTTCACAGGAACTTTCAAAGGCAATACACATTCACAAAGCAAATAACAGTCAGATGAACGGTGTACATTTTGAACTTACAGGCGAAGGCGTGACGGGTAAGTCATCTAAATTGGGATCGGACTCTCGCTCGCTCCTTTTCTAAATGATAAATGATATCTTTTCATTTTTAGAATGCATCGGAGGGTCAATGCAACTTGCCGATTCCGACCTTTCCCTAAATTACAAAACCTACTGTGACCCGAGGTTAAATTATGAACAAAGCTTGGACGTGGCGTTTTTAATTGCAAAATATTATGAGAAAGAGAGAAACGGTTACCTGCCCGGTTTATAGGATTTTTTTTTTTTTTTTTTTTTTTTTTTTTTTTTTTTTTTTTTTTTTTTTTTTTTTTTAAAAAATTTTTTTTTTTTTTTTTTTTTTTTTTTTTTTTTTTTTTTTTTTTTTTTTTTTTTTTTTTTTTTTACATGATTTTTACTCTACCCTTAAAAGCATTATGTTTTCCATCGAATAAATAAACTTGAATGTCACGTATTTCCTAGTCGCTTCTGTTTCAGATTACATATGCAGATTTAAATTGAAATTAAGAACCGAGTATAAAGATGCAGTAACTTTAATCAATTTGGACGAAACTGATCAAACATTTCCCAAGAAATTTGATTACTCAAAAACCGACGCTATTTATTAACCGGCAGTAACATTTATTCATGATTTGCAAGTTGAAAACATACAGTAAATGGTCACTCCAGAACCTGTTTGCAACAATATTCTACTTTGTCTCAAAGTTAGGGGACCTCAGTGTTAAAAATAATTAAAGTTTTTATAATCTTTATCATGGCTGCATGGAAAAGAATACAAAGGAAAATCAACTTTATAACCTTTAATAATTACTATATAACTTATATATTCAATTGAATCTATTATATTTTATTAAAACTATATGGAAAAATGTAATAGGTACATTTCACTATTTATATATTTAAAAAGAAAGGTACTACCGTAAACCACTGCATACAATACCCCGGGTATTAATCAATTTACCCCATGATAAATTGATAAGTACCCGGGGGGTATTCTACTAGAAGGGGGGTAGTATAAATGGCGGGATATTTAGTGTCTTATTATCATCTGACGTATCTCTCACTTGCCTATTCATATTGCAATTTTATTGACTCTAGCTTAATATACCTGGGTAGTAATCATTTATTGAGTAACAATTTTCTTGAATACTATCAGGTATTATTTAAGGAGGGGTATTACTTTAGAAAGGGTATTGTATGCAGTAATTTATGGTAGTTTTGTTATTAAGTTATAAACTCTTGATATTTTGTTAAAGTTAATTATATTTTGGTATAATAATTGTAATTAGTAATTTTATTAAATATAGTTATTCTCATTTTATTATTATGATAGATTTTTATTAAACTTGTTTTGATAAAAAGTTTATACATACTGTATTTATATATCTACACTACTTTAATAAGATGTTTAAATAATTGTAGAGATAGAATATATATGTTAAGTTATTTAAATCTTGAAAAATTTTGATATCCTTTTAAATCTTGAGAAATTTGAGATTTGCTTAATTAATTAAACAAATTTATTTTTTTTTAAATTCCTTGTAATATTAAAAAAGATATTAATTTGTACTGACCTGATTACAAAATCTGTGAAGTTGATATTAACTTGCCTTTTTTGACTATAAATCAGTTTATATTGGTTTGTTTTCTTTTTTTTTAAAAGAAAGAAAAAGTGAAAGTTATTGATATATATATTATTTTTAAATTATCTATTAGTTAAAGATTATATATAAAGTATTGATTGATTCATATTAAGATATCTATTATATATTAATAATATAAGAGTATATATCTTGTCTTATAGATGTTAATTCTTTTTTTGGATAGATTGTCTAAAAAAAAAATTTTTAAGAATTTAAGAAATTTGTGAAAAGAGTTTTTTTTTTAAATTAATTTTTAAATATTTTTTTCAATTCTTTATTTTATATTTTTTTAATTGATTCTTGTAAATAAATATTCTAATAAGTATTCTATTATTTCTATTTATTGTTTTTTTTTTTTTTAACCCTAGGTCAGGCTAGGTATGTGTGTTTTATTAAATGTTTGTATACTGTACATTTTAAATGATTCACTAAAGCTAAGACTTTACCTAACTCACTCGTCACCATTTTGTTTTAATATATCAAAACTCTAAGTGCAACTTCGGGAGTGATTTATCGCTCCGTTAATGGTTCAGGTGAATACCCTTCCAACCTTTAACATCATTGCCTGCAGATCACCACTGCAGATCACTATCCATTGTTCTGACCAAGCTTAAAACCCAACCACTT